ACCAGAACAGTAGGTCATTAAGTGAAAAGACCAAGTAGGAAGTAGAGACTAAAGTCAGTGAGGCTAAAGAGGAAGAACAGACAAGAAATGGTTACTGAACAGGGCAGGACTGATGGTGCATTTGTATAGTGCATTTGTTTTAAAATGAGGGGTATGACAGGTAAAGCAGATGAAATTAGGAGCTTGGATTAGTGTACATAACTATGACATTGTAGCTAATACAGAGACTTAGTTGAGAAAGGGACAAAACTGGCAGCTTAACATTCTGGGATTTAGATATTTCAGGCAAGATAGAGAAGGATATAAAAGAGGTGGGGGTAGGTGCATTACTGGTTAGGGAGAATATCACAGCTGTACCGAGGGAGGACACCATGCAAGTCTCATTCAGCAAGGCCATATGGGTAGGGTTCAGGAAAAGGAAGGTTGCAATCACTTTGATGGGATTGTACTGCGGACCTCCCAAATGCCATTGGGGAATACAGGAACAGATATGTGGACAGATTATGGAAAAGTGTAAAAACAGAAGGGTTGTTGTGGCAAGTGCTTTTAACTTCCCCCTGTATTGACTGGGACACCTTTAGTGTCAGGGGCTTGGATGGGGTGTTGAATTTGTTAGGTGCATCCAGGAGGGTTTTTTGAAGCAATATGCAAATATCCAATTACAGCTATACTAGGCCTGGTATTGGGGAATAAGCCCATCCCAGATGATCAAAGTTTCAGAGGGGGAGAATTTTAGGAACGGTGACCACAATTCTGTACATTTTAAAGTTACGTATGGATAAGGTTAAGATTGGTCCTCAGGTGAAAATATTAAACTGGGGGAAGACTAACTGAGAATATTAGACAGGAACTGGGGAATGGAGTGGCTGTTTGAGGATAAATCCACATCTGTCATGTGGGAATCTTTTAAAGACCAGTTGATAAGAGTTCAGGATTAGCAGAACATTTACGTTCTGCTCGCAAAAAAGACCCTGAAATACCGGTTGCCTGCCACTTCAATGCACCACCCTGCTCCCTGGCCAACATCTGTGTCTCTGGTTTGCTGCAGTGTTCCAGTGAAGCCCAACGCAAGCTGGAGAAACAACAGAGATACCAAGGTGTAGAGCTGGATGAACGGAGCAGGCCAAACAGCATCAGAGGAGCAGGAAGGCTGACGTTTTGGGCCTAGACCCTTCTTCAGAAACC